ACCACGAAGAAGCCAACTTATCTAAGATGAGGTTTATAGGTTTTTTAAACGTACTGAGGTCTGCAGAGGGACCAAAAATTTCAGTAAACCTTCACAGCTGCTCCACTTCAGGGAGAAAGCAAGCTGAAGGGTAAGGCTTAGAGGGGCAGACAGCTGCTCTGACCTCAGCCACTTGCAGCATGTCCTACAGGTCCTGCCCTGCTCCCTCACACCCACAGATGCTACAGGCATGGCTTCAGCTCCCCTTTGGAAAACAGGGCTCCCAGACAAGCCCAGGGGATGAGATCCTGACATCTTTCTGTATGCTGAACAGCACAAGTTACTGATCTGTGTGAGGCTGTTTACAAAGCATCCAAGTAGGGAAGAGAAGGAGCATCAAAATCAAGTGTCTGCTTTTAGAAATGCACTAAGCACACTAAAAATACACTCTGCTAGAGGAGATGGCACAACAGCTAAACCACCAGCTAGGAAAATAATACTCAATTGCTAAAGTGCCTAAATACAAATAAATATACATGATTTAGATGCCCAAATTTGGGTAAAGATAGTTGGGATGGTCCAACTATCTTCCATTTTCAGGAAGAGTCATTAACATTTCAGTGATGGCAGGCACTGCTTTTGCTGCCCAGCTTCTCTTTTTGCCTCCCCTGCCACCTCTGCCCTCTGTTAACCTCACGTGGGCAACAGGGAATAAGGCAAGGGGATCTCTTTCTCTGCTCTATCTTGCAACATTTTTGGGACACAACAGTGTCACACTAAACAAAGGTACAAAACAGCAGCCTGAGACCAGGCACTCCAGGCACTGTGGACTCACACAGTAATCGACAGCCCACCTGCAGGCAGTGCTCTGGGCCATGCTGCTGGATGCCTCCGGAGCCGCTCCTTGTTTGAAGGCTCTGGGAGAGAAACCTTTCACCTTCTCCACCTGAGCTTTCCACACGCACAGATCCCTTTTCTGGAAGTGCAATCCACCCCTCTTCATCCTGCGGGCAGCTTGGTCTTGGCCAGCACACAGGAGGCAGCACTGAAGTTGTTCCTGTCAGCACAGCAGGCACCAGTGGCTCCCTGAAGGACAGGACAGCACCAGGAGCTCAGCTGCAGGGCTGAGCTTGTTAAATGTGCCCAGGAGGAGCTGAGCAGGGCTCTCCACACCCATCAGTGCCCCAGGGCCCAGCACCTGCTGCTCCCCTCACAGCAAAGCCTCTGCTCTGTGCTGCTGCTAAAAGCCTGCATGTGCCAGGTTCTCAGCCCCTCTCCCTGCCTCCCCAGCCCGTCCTGGGGTTTGCAGATCTCAGCACAACAGGGTCTGAGCTGTGTCCTGGTTTTCACTGCTGTTGACTCAAAGGGTTCCCAGATTTACAGCAGCAGGACATGTTACTGTGTGTGTGAATCTGCTGCTCCAGATTCACCAAGCAAGGGTAAATTAAGGACTGGATTCTTGTGTCTGTCATAGCTGGCAGGTGATCCCAGAAGGGTCATGGTCCCATATTTGAACTTGATAGTTCAGTGTATGGTGTCTTTTTTTGTGTCCTGCTCATGCAATACACTGAACACAGACCTGCCAAACAAGACCAGACAGAGCTTAAGTTTGATGTGAAATTACTTAAAATATTATCTACATACTGCAAGAGCTCTGAAAGTGAACCATATTACATACTTTGCTCACTAAAAAAGGCTCCAAGATGGATTTACTGTGCAAGCTCCAATCCAAAGCAATTAAAGTGAAGAAAGATTTCCTCTAACTTAAGTGCCATGGATCATAGCCCTTCACCTCCATCTTTTCACATATCTTTACAGGAACAAGAAGTTAAATATATACTTGCTACATCTTGCACAGATTGGAATTCAATTAACATTTTTCTGCAACAAAACTTATAGAAGCACTTCAGAGCTGCTGCTCACAATGCAGAAGCAAGTGAACAAATGATATTCTCATTAGCGCTCTGCCTTTCCCTGCTGCGCAAGCCAAATCCTTGAACACTAAAAGCACCTCAGCATCAGCTGGGTTCACAGACATCCAGAGCAATTTTTCAAGCTCCCTGACTTTTATAGACCAGGGGGGAAGGGATTTGGTGTGCTTTAATCCGTTCTATTATATGAACTCAGAAATGGTTTTCATTCTCTAGCACCATAAATTAAACTGGCTGCAGTTGTTCTATTCCTGATTATGCTGAAAGTTACTGGCAATAATTTGATGACTATATTTTCTTGTCTTTTTTTTTTCTTCTTTTCCAAATTAACCTGTGAATTTAGTTTCTGTGGTAGTAAGTAACTAATGCAATAAAACTGAAGATAGTAGCCAGCACATTCACATCTTGATGCCTGAAATTGTGGATGAACAAATTAAAGCTTCTTTACCTTGTAGGTGAAATTTACTGTATTCAATTCCCAGCTCTTTAGGCTGGAAGAACTTGTTGTACGAGAAAATCACATTATTTTGCAGTCCCCTACATTTTTTTTTTAATCTAGAAGACTGAAGACTAGCCACCTTTTCAATGTAAGTGAATTTACCTTTGCAAGTCTTTAGAGAAATACCATCCCAACCATTTTAAAGACAGGAAAAACTTAGGTCAAGAATAATTTACAGAAAAGCTTTTTACTCATGCTGTACAAGCTATTATTAATACAACTCAAGACAGAAAAGCATCTGTTTACTACTGCACTCATAAAAATATATGAAAGTAGGAAACAAATTCCATCTGCTTGGCTTCCCCTCCTTTCCCCTGACCGCTGAGACAATTTGTCTCCTAAACCCTGGTAACAAGCAGAGAGAAAGCGAGACCACACTGGTGAGGCCACTCCTCGAGTGCTGTGTCCAGGTCTGGGTCCCTCACCCCAAGAAAGACATGGAGGGACTGGAGTGTGCTCAGAGAAGGGTAAAGGAGCTGGGGAAAGTCTAGAGAGTCCTAAAATGAGTTGCTGAAGGAGCTGGGGGGCTCAGCCTGGAGAAAAGAAGACTCAGGAGTGACTTTATCATTCTACAACTACCTTAAAGGAGTTGACAGAAGCTGGGGCTTGGCCTCTTCTCCCAGGTAACAAGTGACAGGAGAAGAAGACATGGCCTCAGGCTGTGCCACGGGAGGCCCAGGTTGGACACCAGGAAGAATTTCTTCACAGAAAGGGTGGTTAAGCATTGGAACAGGCTGCCCAGGGAGGTGGTGGAGCCACCATCTGCTCAAGAGTTGCTCAAGAAACCACTGGATGTTACACTTAGTGTCCTGGTTTAGTTGACAAGCTGCTGCTCAGCCAAAGGTGGGACTGGATGATCTTGGAGGTTTTTCCCAACCTGAATGATTCTGTGGGAGATTGCACAGACTCGGATTACCTCTGGATGAGTTAAGGGGCACACTGTACATTTTGGAGTGTAATCCATCAGCAGCTTCTCTACAGAGTGATGGGGTTCTTGGAGTCCAACTGTGCCTCTAGTTCATGTGAATTAATAAATGTGTCTTTGATGATTTATTTCAATACAAATTACTTGCCAGTGTAAGCACAGCAAATCCAGCTCCAGGCAGGATACTTTGGACCTTAGCAAATACCAGCTCCTAAAAGCTTCAGTACAACCTACTTGGGATTCCATCAAACACAAGTGCCCATGTCAGTTGCTGTCAATTATTCCATCTATAAGGACACGTCAGATACACAAAAGACACTATTCTGACAGCATGACTGCCCTAAAATGATAACTTTAGCATAATGCACTTGACAATGAGAAAAGCAATAATAGCTATTTTGGGGACAAAAGAAAAATACAATGGATCTGATGACTAAGTGTTCTGGTCCCCAATGTAAAAGCAAAGTAGATCCCTGTCGTATTTAACTTGATTCTTTTGAATTAAACACTTCCATTAAAGTTTCCCACAGTAGCTTTAATATTTAATTATGTATTCCACCAAAGAAAAGAACAAAATCTTTGCAAAGGGTTTTTTTGGGCTTTTTTTTTTCCTAGATGTGAAATATTTATCAGCATATCTCTTTGGACAAGTATTTTTATCCCCCAGGCAGGGAAAAAAAAAAACTTCCACGTTCAAATCAGTTTCAAAACATTTTATTTTACAGCTTGAAATTTTCCTATACTTCAGCACCTCATGCCGTGACTTTGTTATTTCACTTGTTAATGAATGGTAATTAAATCTCTTTTGGCTGAAAAGGTTGGAGGGCTCCTGCTGTATTACAAAAACAATTTCTGAAAGTTACAAAAATGCCCAAGTGTCTAGAAATTAAAGCATAAAGTTTGCCATGTTTTGAGTCCAAGTTTTAATCGCTCGGAAGGATTTGTGTGGGAGAACAGCATGTCCCAGTGAGTGTGCACAGTCCCCCCAGATTGAACAGACATAATTATGTCACTTTGTATCTACTAGAGTAAACAAAATCGTGCTCTTAATAATGTACATTGTGGCCACAAACTTCCTTGATCTTCCTAACAACCGTAGCAAACACTGCATAAACCCTATTATACACTACCTACACAGAGAACTGCTACATATGTACATCTAAGTAAAGACTTGTTAATTTTGCATTTGCTCAGCAGGGCTTGAAACATCAGCCTATTAATTTTTCTTCTTTTCTGTATTCTCATTTCTTTCAGGTGCTTTGAGTCAGAAGATAAATGGAATGAGTGCTTACAACTGAGGTAGATAAAAGAGAAATAACTACATATTAAGGCATTTTGTGGCATTACAGTGCTAAATAGAGACACAGTATTGAAGAAGAAATATCTCCACCATCCATTTACATCCATGCAGGCATCTGCTGGCATCAAATGGGCACATTTGGTATACAGGTTGTAAAAAGAACTATGTTAATTCCAATATAAAATGTAAAATATATAAATGCAATATAAAATGTAATTCCAGCGTAAAAATGTGTTTTATTGCATACAATATACCATTTTTTCCTGCAGGTTATACAGTGATTTCAGTAGATTCTGAATCTCTTTTAAAATTACAGTTTCTCAAACAAGAAACTGGGAACAGGAATGCAACTAGTTGAGTGCATTCCTAGACTGCAATTTTGGGAATGGGTTTGCTTGAAGGAAAGCCCCCTATGTTGAAGTGAGGCACATCAGTCTTGAGGGGTGGTAATTTTGTCCTCATATCAATGCTGGATCGCTCCTTCTCCCTTTAAATAGAAACAAAGAAACAGAAAATTCATCTTTCATTCTGCAGCGCAGAGATGTTTAAAAACCAAGGAAATCTGTGTCCTCCAGAGTTTCTTTGATGCAACCACGTATCAATTTTAAAAGTGTTGATTAAAGCCTGTTAGGCTAAACCTCCAAGACTAGGTGTCTGTTTGGATGTAATTACAAAACCACCGATGGGGTTTGGAATTATTAAAAATTAGAAATAAATGAGCTTTCTTTGTGCTACACCCCAAAATGGTCAGAGCACCTCATTAGAGCAAGTACATACGTGAGCTCCATGACTTCAGATTTCTAATCACCATCCTGTTCTAGCTGGAATATGCCTGTTTCCAAACAAACAGCTATATTCATCAAAGGCACAATGGGGAGGTTTTTGTCCTTTGTTGAATTTCAATGAATATATAGTGCTATCTGTCTTCACATTTTAACAAAGTTCCAGTGATAATTGCCCTGTCTGTTTGCAGAAAATGCTGTAGGTACACTGACAGCCCCAGGGAGCTGCTCCATCTGAGAATCCAGGAGGTCTTGACTTTGATGGCCTCAAGAGGAGGGAACAAGAGTTAGCTGGTTCCACTCTCACAAAGTTGGGGAGGTGAGCAGAGCACTACAAAGACAAAGAGCAATATTCCAACCTCACTGTGATATTCCTGGATGCTTCAGAGAGAGGTCCTGAGACACTTAAGATTAACCAAGGGGAGCTTTATGAACTTTTAGTTTATCACAACAGCAGAAGTCTCAAGGCTTTACAAAGAATGTCAGTACCATTACTTTATTTCAAAGTCACTGGGATTGTAAAACAAATGTGAGTGTGACACTTCTACAAAATCTAGCCTTCTCACGTGAGAATCTTTGCTCAGTCCCCACTAAGGGAAAGGAAAACACTTCTGTAATTATTACTTTTCTGTTTGCCCCTAAATAACTGTCTGGATGGGAAGAAGTTTGGGGAAACCATGTCAGATGTCTAGCTATGCATCCTTTTCCAAACTTGACCCATACAGAGGTAGAAGAATAGCCAAAAGATGGCACAGATGAACTTAACACATGAAAACCACTTATAACTGGTTTTAACTGTATTAATGTAGCCCTAATGGATATGGCAACTGACAGCCATAATTAACATTCTGTATTTTGATGGCTTATCCCATCTCACTGTTGGGCTTCCAAGTCTGGGAAGAGAAATTATCCAGAATCCATGCTCATTTTTTCCTCGTGCTCCTCATGAAGACAACAAACAGATGTGCTCATCAGTATGGAAAATTCTATGCAACTGAATACTATAATATATTATGCAGAATTAATGTGCAACCAGCCACGTGCAAAAGCTCCCACTTACTACTGACATCCCTCAGTGCAGTTATTTACATATATAGGACTGCTGGATTAGGTCTCTGGTGTGGATTTAAGCTTCATATTTTCTCACAAATCCTTATCAAGATCAAAATGGGATCCGGGTGCTAGAAGCAACTAGGAAAATAGTGACGCAGAAAAGGTTCAAGGAGCTGAAGTTAAAAATAGGAAGAGATAGAACAAGAACAGCTAAGACAACTGGGAAAAGCAACATTCAGAATCAGAGAGCTGAAAAAGAGGATTTCAAATTCACAGCCAAAATCTTAAACACTGAATTTTCATTTTTAACACAAAACAAAGCTAAATTCCCACTGTCACTATATCCCTTGAGTATCACATACAAAGCTACATTTATTCAGTACCACGATGTTAAATCACAACTCAAAGCTATCTTGTGCAAATCAATAAAAACTTTAGATGATAACTTTGTGTAAGGTTATCTGAGAGTATTAATTCTCTTTCATACCAGGGTAGTCAATAATGTTGTTAATGCTATTGTCCTGACAGGATCCTCTTTGTATTAGCAAAACCAGCTACATTTATTTCAGACATGATGTTAACATTAGCCAGCAAGATAGAGAATCAAGTCAGTGGTTTTCTGTCAGCTGGAATTTAGAGATATCTGAGATTGTATGAATCAAATGGCCCTGGCTCTTTGGCCAGCATCCACACAGCAGGCACTGCCTGTCCAGCCCTGCCTGAGGCAGCACGCTGTGGGATGGCTGGATGGCAGGGAAGAGGACTCCTTGGGGAAGAACCTGACTGCACACCAGGTTCTCTCTGCTGCAGAAAGCCAGCAGTGTATTGCACACCTGGCAGGCTGGAGAAGGAGGGCTGCACAAGGTTGTTTCCCTTGCCAACACAAAGCACAGCCTAGAGACAGCAGAAGTTGCAGTTACCCAGGACTGGTATGCCCAGCTGTGCCTCTGGGCTCTCCAAAGCAGGATGCAGTCCAACAGGCTTGACTGGGGTACAAAGCCATGAGGGGAAGAGGAGAGCAAAGCCCAGCACCACCCCTCCCTCAGCTGCCACAAGATGAGAGAGGTGCAAGCCAGGGCTGGCAGCACAGGCTGGTGCCTTCTGAGGCTCTGGGGGGCACAAGATGATGCCAGCCTGAAGAAGCACCACTAACAGTACCTGAATGTGCTTCCAAAACACTAATGTCACAGAGACACCAATGCTCATCAGACTACAGGCATGATTGCCCAAAATAACAAACTGACAAGCTGCCCCATTAGCAGGTATCTATCCTGAACCTATAAACAGTGTATCCAGCACTAAATTACTTTCAATATGAAATTTCTTTTGCTGTATAGCATGCCCCCATTCAGCTACCATCAACTCGCACAGTATTTTTTTTTAAAAGCAATTATGTCCTTTTCAAGTGGAGTTTTTATGACAGGAATTAATTCTAGGTGAGATATAACAACAAAATGTGGGTAAACTTCTCCTCATTTTATGAACAGAAAGAGACACGATGCCAGAGTCTGAAATGGAAACATCAAATCTACTGTGAAGGAGACATTTAGCTGCTGGAAATGGATTATCAGGCATTATGGTAGCCTCACATACTGATCCTAAAGCTCCAGAAAGGCCATTAGCACTGCACAATTGTTGCTAATTCCAAACATTAAGGTGACATTATGCAATTTGCAGATGGACAAAAGTCACTGTTTATCACTGATTATTTTGCTAATTTAGTCATCAAATCATTTGTTGTCTGAAATTAAGGAAGAATTAATAAAGGCAGCTATTCAGCAGTGGTAGAGAACCATTGGTTTTAGTGTGTGAGGAAGGCACCAGCTGAGGATGGAAATGAGTATAAAGACAAAAGGCTTTCTGTGCATACAGAAAAACTTGGTAACAGATCACATCATCTGACTGCAGAAATCTAAGAAATCTCTCATTAAAAGCCCACCCTCAGCACCCTCAGCAAGTTTTCAGATGACAAGCTGAATGGGGCAGTTGACCTGAGGCATGGGATGCCATCCAGAGGGACCTGGATAAGCTCAAGAATGGGCCTATGGGAATCTCTTGAGGTTCCACAAGACCAAGTGTGGGGTGCTGCACCTGAGTCAGGGCAAGCCCTGGCATCAATCCAGGCTGGGGCATGAAGAGATGGAGAGCAGCCCTGCCCAGCAGGACTTGGGGGTGCTGTGGGTGAGAGGCTGTGAGCCAGCCATGTGCACTCACAGCCCAGAAATCCTGCTGCAATAGGACAAGGGATAAGGGTTTTTAACTAAAGTAGGGTAGATTTAGACTAGATATAAGAAGAAAATTTTTTATTATGAGGCTGGTGAAAGACTGGCCCAAGTTGCCCAGAGAGGTGGTAGATGCCCATCCCAGAAACATTCAAGGTCAGGCTGGGGCTCTGAGCACCTCATCTGGATGGAGATGTCCCTGCTCATTGCAGGGGGGTTGGACTAGATGGCCTTTAAATGTTCCTTCCAACCCAAACCGTTCTATAATTCTATGCTTTGATGTCAGAGAAAAGACACTAATCTGTGTTCTCTGGGCACCATCTCATTGGTATCAATAATTTAACTGGACTGCAGAATGTGTTCAGCAACATCTCTGATGGATGTTCTTGTCCTGGCCATAGATCATGGTAAATCCAGACCAGACTGAAGGAACATGGAGGATAACATTCAGGAAAATTAGGCAACAAAACTGTATCACCTCAGTCAAATTTGGCCACTTTCTGATCCAAAGGGTCTAAAACAAAAATCTAGCTTATGCAGAAAGTTGTGTAGACAAAACTGTTGTTTTCCCATACTTCTTCTGTTGCTCCTTGCGTTTCTGAGACAGATATTTCTTTTTCACTTCCAGAAGCTCATTGTTAAGTCTTTCAATTTCATGTTTGTATTCTTTGCTCTGTGTTTCACACATACTCAGTTCTGAGGACAAAACCTAATAAACAAAACACAAACAGCAGAAACAGGAGATGTTGCTTTACTTACACATAAGTGAATACTTTTACAAGCGCTTTCTCTTTTTATATTTGATGATGTATGACATGATCATTTTCTACACAATTCTTTTTCCCACTTGATGTTTCATTTGATCTCACCTCTGTTCACCTAAAAACATCTTACAAAATAAAGGTTATGTCATTTAACCATAATACAACATGTAAAATACACTCCAAGCTTTACGGGAATGGCATTAATAGCTACATTAGCTCTTAATTTCTGGGACATAAAGCTGGGCAAAAAACCAAAGTTAATAAATCAGGGAATTATTTTATAATAACAGGGTTTATTCACAGGGATGCACTGCTAAGTGGGGTAATTCAATCCACACAGGCAAAGTAGTACCAGGCACTTCAAATATGAATACAAAGCCACTTATATGTGAATCAGTAAAATTTTAAAAAAGGAGGAGCATGCATAGTGCACCTTCTTTCTTTCAAAAGAGTAATAGTTTGACCTGGCACCCCAAAATGGCATGCATGCCATCATGCTACAGCATGCTGTGCCTGAAATACAAAGCAGCAATTGCCTGCATTAAGGACAAATAAGGACCGTATGGAAAACTTCAAATCACGTTCAGTTTAGCTAAACTTCGGCTTCTATTTTACATTTTCTACATTGTTTTTCTTCTCCATGGAAAGCTAAGATTTGCATAACAGCCTCTTTGTTTCCTAAGGGCCCATCTGCTCCTGCATTTTTTTCCTCGTGGTTAGTATAGACGTGATTATGATGCAGTGAAGAGGAGATGATGACTTCAACAGAGACAGGAGCTGCAGAAGTAGATGAACTCCTGGGGAGACTGATCTCTCATGCAGGCAAGAATAGAAGAGGATCAGCTTATTCATAGAATATCATAGAATTCTATCAAAGAATCGCTTTTTAATATTATGATTTTAAAATTTTCTACAAGATTCTTTTGGAAGCAGGAACTCCTCCCTCCAACTGACAAGGGGTTAGAACAGGTTCCTCCTGTCATCTCCACAAAATCTGCAAATCTAAATATACATGTACACATGGCAAGAGAAATAATAGTAACTTAAGACTGGATTCTCAGTATATTCCCACTAGTTTGTTAAAAAGAAAAAAAAATGGCTTTGATTTGCTTCTTAAAGATATTAATAGTTTAAGATAAAGGGAAGGAGAATAAGCTGAATAAAAAGCTGGCAATAACCTAGAATGCTCATGTAAAAAAACGTATTTACAGCATTGTGCTGCTAACTCATATTGTAATAAGACTTTTCTTCTATTTTAATTAAACAAAGTAGAACAATGTGCAATATAAGTTCATTTGCTGCTCTGTGCTGTCCCTTGAGGAGATGCAGTGACAACCCTGCTTTCCCGGTCTCGCGCACTAGGGCAGGCACACAGTTCCCTGAGGATCCCCTGCAGCCCCTCTGCCAGGCTGCAGCCCCTCCCCAGGGACAGTGGGCACCTCTTACTTTGATCTGCTTCACCTTCTCCCGGAGGATGTTCCGGTACTGCTGCAGCTGCTCCGTGGCCTCGGGCCCAGGCTGCCGGGCCAGCACGTGCCTCAGCTCCACGTACAGCTTCTCCTTTTCCTAAGGAAGGGACAAGAGGAGGAGCTCTTAGCAAACCACTACAGCAGCAGCACAGCCTGAGAGGAAATCAACCTCACTGGAAATTGCAACTCAGTCAGGAAGGTATTTGGAGAAACAAATCTGCCTGTGTGTCAGGCTTTCCTCACTAGCCATAAGGTATTTAAAGTTGTTGTGATAGCGATGGGAGAGCTCATTAAGATAAACATCCAGCTACTTCAAACCATGAATGAAATGCTCTTAAACACCATCACCAGCAAGCACTCTCTACCTCAGCACTTACTGGAAGAGTATCCAGGGCTGGGAAATTAATCACTGGAAAGTGTGCTTATTGCTATCTTTCTTCTTATGAGTCACACTGCCTTACATTAAAGATCTCAGCTTCACCCAACAGGATGTGAGCTGGCTATAGAAATGTCAGCAAAGGACTGTACAAAAGAGTTACTTCTTCCAAAGAAAATCCTGCAAAGCACATGTACACACACACAGATAATTATATATATATATATATATAACCTTTCAGTTTAACTGCAGGGGCTCTGGGAAAGAAATTATAAACAGCAACAATTATGACTAGCACAATTACCAAGTAATTTTTGTCATGTGTCTCCTCATCCTTTATGTTGGAACAGTAATACTTGTGGGAGTTGGATATTGCCATGCCTGAAAAGAAACCACACCATGGACCCACTTACAGCTTTCTGTACTGAAATGCTGCTTTCAGCTGTGTTTTGAGAGTGTGCTTGTTTGTAGTCTAAGGAATAAAGCTCTGAAAAAAGCCACCTTCATAGTTTTGCACATTACAATAGTTTTACTATCTACCCTGGAAAACTAAGATCATTAAATAGTATTATTTAGTAAGATCACATTCTTTTCTGGTACATTGAAAACTGGAATTAAAAAGGAGACTAGCAAACAAAAGATTTAACTGAGGAAGACAAAAATTCCAAGAAGAAGGCAGGATAGGTGATTATTTATACTGGATTTGGCAAAGTCCCTTTTAACTGTCTTTTTTATAAGGTCTCTCTACAACTCTTACCACAGAATTCATCTGTTGATGTGGGAAATGGTGCCATCACACCATCTAAAACTGCTACATTTGGTCTTTCTCAGTGGTTAAGCCACGGCTTTTAGAAGTGGTTTGCTATTTTGAAGGTATAAAATTTTAGGTGTCCAGTCTTCAAGAACATGAGGAGTGTGGAGCTTTTAGACCTCATCATTTTCTAAAACTATGCACTACAATGGTCACAAGTTGGGACCCCAAAATGGAATCACTTCAAATCATGCCTTACTTTTGCAAACAATGTTCTCAAACTATGCAGATTACTGAGGAAGAGTTCCTTATAAATGAAATTGTTCACAGTTTATCTCTGGAAAAATCAAAACCTCCTGAGTAGTCTCAGACTGAGGTTTGAATAGCAACAAATACTAAATTGAGAATTCAGTCTGAGTGAAGAGTTATTATTCCACTTCATAGTGGTATTCCAACTACCAGCTTTTCTTTCTGAGGAGATAAATTTTACTTCAAGGTAAAAACAACTGCAAAAGAGTAATCCACCTTGTCAAAATCTGGCCAGTCAATATTAACATTTCAACCCTGAATGTATCATATATTTGTATTTTGTAGTAGTAGTAGTGTAATGGTAATTTGGATAAACATGGGGCAATTGATAGATTGAAGGTCTTAAGTGTAATTGCTTTCCAACTTTTTCTCTCCCTACCCTCTACAAAAGCCAACCAAGCTCTTCAAACACTGTGCAATGGTGTGTATAATAACCTCATCTAGAGACAAAGCATGCAATTCTATTGTAAGGAGAATCTATTTTATGCAGCAGAGACTCGTTAGGTGTCCAATGTACATTGTATCCATAATCCAACAGAGGCAGAACCAGATGTCTTATAATGCGTATCTTGTCCTTCCTTGCTGAGCACTGTCCATCTCTTTTACATCTAGTCAATTAATTTGTCACTGGGTTAGAAGCACCATATGTCAGCAAAACATTAAAGAAAACCCTGGATACTTCTTTCCTCCTCAGCAGAAGCTTGTATTCACAGGTTGGCATTTTTTAAATTTCTGAAATTTTACCTCAGTATTCAAAAAATAAATTTAAAAGATATAAATTAATTTCAATTAATTTAAAAACACCAACCACAAGAGTAAACCTATGTGAGTCACAAGGTGCATTTGCAGGTACTTCCATCTCTACACATAAGAAATCAGAAATGACCAAGAAAAAAATATCAGCACAAATTCATAAAGAAAAAATTTGTCTTCTGTAATAGATTAAGTCAATTCATTATGACTGGGTTTCTTTAGCTCATCCCAAACTGCCTCCCTTCACATTTCCCTCCATCCTCACACCAGGCTGCCATCACAACACACACCTTACCATGGTTGTGAGGTTTTGACATCAAGGAACAAATACACTGTGAGGCACAGCTCTTCTTCTTGAGGTGAAGGAAGATCCATAAAATCTCTGTAAACCCACGCTGTTAAGCCTCCACTGGTAAGAGTAATGTACCTGTGCTCAGATCAGGTCTAGGCCAGTAACAAATCTTTTTATGGGACCCTTCCACCATGAAATTCCCATGGAATTCAGCAGACGTTTGACTGTAGGACTGAGCCCATAACATCAACAAGCTTCACTGGTTTATGACACAAACTAAGCCAAGATGATGGTGGAGAGATGATGGCACATTCATTTTGTGTATGTAGGGCATGCTGGGACACTCAGGCTGAGGATTACAGCTAAATTTCAGGCATTCCAAAGAGAATTTCAAGACCTCTGTGAATACTTGCTGTAAAAATTCTACAAATAAAATGGCGTATTATTTTTAGAATAGCCCTTCTTGTCTTAGGTTTGTTTCCCAGGGGATCTCTGAGGAGCTCACAGATCTGTCTGTAGCCCAGCCATGACAGTAATTTTCTTCATCCCTAAGTCTCTCACCTATTAATTTGGAGAGGGAAGGTGGGGAAGTAAGTGGTGCTTTCCCCTAAATTTAACTAGGTGCTGTCTCAGCCATATTCTGTACTTCTCCTGGCCTGCTTGCTTTACAGCAAATTGAGAAAAAAAAATATTTTCTTCTGTAGAAGACTGGCTAGCATTTGGCAAACTTCAGTTGATTGTGCAGGATCAGGTGGTCACGAGTTGCCTCCATCTTCAGCAAGAAGAATCACTTTTGCCAGCAAAACCCAACTTCAAAAGAAGCTGCTGCTGCTGACCAGCACAGCACCATTTGCTTTTCCATGTGAGAAGGACCATCAGTACCATCAGATACATTCCCAAAGTGGCAGCAAGGCATTGACGGCCATTGACAGGGAATGGGAAGCATTCACCAGTCCCAGGCTGGAACAGAGCTCTAAAGATGTGACCTCATTTTGTGTCATCCTGTCCCCCACCATGACACCAGGAAATGGCACATCTTGTTAGTTAGCCCAGGGTTTTATTCTGAACCAGAGGTGATGGATGACCATACATTTAATGAAGATGATTTCACAGCAGAAATAGGCCCTGCAGTCCCAGCTTCCTCATTTTTATCAGTTCTTTCCAAATAGATAATTCAACAAATTTACCTGGCAAAGCAGTACCCCAAGAGCCTTCTCCACGAGACCCACACAAATCCTATCATGTACCAAAAGCTTTCTATCACATGAATTACTGAAAAAAAAAATACAAAACAAAACAAAAAAAAAGGGAAAAAAAAAAAAACACCAAAAAAGTCCAAAAACTTTGCATCAGAGTAAATTTAAATTATGCCAGCTCCTGCCTCCAGCAACTGAGGTAAAGTAAAAACTCCACAAGATAAAGATGTAGTGCAAAAGTGTGTGATGTAATATATGGCAGCAGTCCCTAAAATATTCAACCTAAATAAAAATTCTAATTCCAAAACCTTTAAGCAGTAAGTGGTGAAGGCAATATAGCAACCATGCAAGCACTCCATAGTTCCTCATGGCTTTGGTGGGGATAACAAGTCAGCCAACGTGCCATGGGGGGTTTCTTGTTTATTGGCACTATAACCAAAATGCCAGGGCTGTGCAGAACTCCAGAGACATTTTGTTTATGATGCCATGGAGCAGCAGAGCATCCTCAGGGGTAGTGATTCCTCTTCATAAGTGTTAAACAGGACACAGAAATCTGGATTAAATACATACACAGACACACATATCTAGCCATAGTCATTTTCACTGTATAAGCCCTACATTTATTTGTTGTTGTGTATACCTAGCAGTAGCTGCTGGCTCAGGACGTCTATCTTTGAAAGTTTTATGAGGTAAAGAAAAAAAAATTAGCATATGGTGACCTTCAGAAATTTTATAATAACAGAAGAAAGTTGCCTCCAGCACTGTGAAAAATGTGCAGTATAAACTTTCTCTGTAAACACTTTCCAAAAGCTCCTGCTCTTTCCTGTCTATTCCGCATCCATCAGCAAACACCCTCGCAAGGATGCAGTTCCCTAGAACAGCTCCTCTTTTCATTATCACCTAGACACTTCTTAATCTCACCAGTGTGAGGTTTTTTTATTGGATGTATTAATTAAGTTTAAAGAGGACACTGAGGCCCTTTCACAGTGAGGCAACACTAACACTGTGCTAGATGTTTTGGGTTTTCCTGTGAAAACCACCAGCTTGAAGGAAAGGCTGGGATAGTCTCATCTTTGGTGAAATCTGCATCGCCCAAACTGGTCTTGTAACTTATTTCTCCAGATGATAATAATGCTTCTCAAGAGCAATTCTGTTTCCTCTGGCACAGAGCAAACTGTACCAAATTGACTGGCATTTTCAAAACAGCTTAATGAGAGAGGAAAGAAACCTTGGAGCACCTCGCAAGGTCTTCACCCTTGGCTGCTTTTTGCAACAGCAAGAGCTAAATGCGGCAATATCACCGTCTTCCAGGAACAACAAAGTATGAACAACAAAGTATGAACCTGGAGTGCAGCTGCAACTTATTAGTATTATTATTATTGCTAGGAACTGTTACTATCAGATCTTCCCTCATAAGGGT